CCGTTGGCTATATGAATTTTACCGCTGTGCATGTTCCAGTAAAATCAAAGGCCTTAGAAAAGGGATTCTGTGGAAGCTTTTTTTGTCAGGGCCTTTACACTCATTAGTTATAGTTTGGAGCACAAGCCTCAGGGCAGGACCAGCGTAGTTGCTCCTGTTTGATTGTGCAGGCATTAGTGCTTCTTCAGGAACCTCCATTGCTTTGTGGATCAGGAGTGACTGATGTTTCAGCCTAATTTTTCCAACACACTTAAGAAGTGTACTCTGCCCTGACCATCTTGTATCTTCTTCTATTTATTAAAGGGAGGACTGATTGCCTGTTTCGAGATGCCTGTGGTGACAGCCTGCCTGGTCTCATCCCTTTGAAGGATTTCTATCCAAGGGCTTATCTCCACTGCAGAATTAGCTCGAGCTTTCAGCTGAGGGTGCTCTGCCTCCCTGCTCAGCCCATGCTCCTCCCAGCAGCCCAGCACTAAAGGGCAGCTGAGTGACCCACCAATTGCTGTAGATTAAGGGGTTAAATGTGCTGTGATGCAGACATCCTATACATCTTCCCCTGCTGCAAATCCCCTGGTGCCTCCCTCTAGTCTTTCCAGTGATGTTCTTCCTTGTCATGTAGGCATTTCTCTGATCCAGCTGAACTGGGGACATTAACAATTAATTGTCCCCATCTGGATGTCACTTGGACAGGCTGCTGTCAAACATTTAGCAAGAACAATCTGAACAGGAATAGTGGGCTTGAACATCTGTTTTTTCCCCCTTTTAAAACACACTTCTGGCATATAAGTGAGAGAGAGCTGTCAAGTGCAGCCTGGGCTGGGAGTAACAACCAACCCTAACCCGTCTGGGGAAGCCATCGATGCTTTCATGTATTTCACTGCTACCTTTGAAGGGTTCAGACAGTCATTTTTTTTTCTCTCAGAATGTGTTGCTTTCTTCACCATTGGAGATTCCTGGGTTTTTTCATCATGTCTTTTAAATGTGCCTTTATTTTGCAAAGGTACAGCCTTTGTACAGATCAACCAGAAGAGATCAGATCCTTCATTCTGGCTGGATTCTGAACCAGCTCTAGATCAGCTCTAAATTTTAGATTTTCTTCTCCATATCATATTTATTGTGGGGTTTTTTACAATCAGCTTTATTCTTAAGTGTTTATCTCTGGAAATCCTTTTCAACTGATTTTCCCTTTTTTCTGTGGAAGGAAGTACTTGGAGAAAATGTGATCCAACTCGGAAGAGAACTTGCAGATAGCAGATACCTGATCTCCTGGTGTGAAGGAGCAATTGCATTATTACCTCTCTGGAGTTGGAGATAAATGAGATTTACCCTCTTTGGGGCAAGGCATTTACCAGACAACAAAAGTTAGAATTCCTGGTAAGGAACAAGGCTGGGCTGTGCAGCCAGAAGTGCTTCTGGAGAATCTATGCCCAACGTGTGTACTGAAGTTACTGTTCATTTCTGAGTTATTACCTGATATGAAACCAGTCCCACGTATATAAGAAACAAATTTCAGCCTCTTGCCTACCTGATTTTCAGCAGCTGCTCATGCAATAGTTCAGTCAGTCAAAAAGGAGATGCTCGTTGCTATCTGGAAACTAAACCAAGTTCTGTCACCTTCATGACTGGTTTCACTCCCAGATCCTCCAGCTCAGGGCTGGCATCTTCTGCAAATGCTTCTAGATGGGATTGCTGATTAATAATCACTGTTCTCCCAGTTATTTAGGTCATGGCCCTTCTTCTGCTCCTTCTTTTCACTACCTGAGTGAGGGTTGAAACAGAGATCACCCAAGGCACAAGTGCTAGTTTGACTTATTGCCACAGTCAGCTAAATCTGAGCTCTCTGCCCTGTATCTGTGACTCAGTTCACCTCAGCTCTCTGGCATTGCTTCTTAAAATTGCCCTTCTTCCATTTACATTTCAAAGCCCAAAAATTGTTCTGGTTTTAGGGATAGTCGCACAGTTACACCTCCAAATGGAGATTTGTGATACAAGGTCGTTTTCAAGAGGAAAAAAAAATTAAAATACTTGGGACTATGTTTTCTTGCTCATGTTTGCAGGTGCTTTTATTAAAAGTCTGCTCTGAGCAGTGTCATGTGTGTATGCAGCCTCGGATTAGGCTGTGAGAATTTATGGAAAAGCTTTTTGTGAGAAAACATTCGCAGCTATGTAGCCTTAGAAACTAGAGAGTTGGAGTTGGAGCTCGAAGAGTGGCTATGAATATGGAGAGCCAGGAGTTGGAATAATCACAAGGGAGGCAACTGCACCAGCCAGGAAGAAAGATGAGAGTTTCAGCAGAAAATTGATCAAGATAACGAAGCAGGGGGAAGATGCCTTGTGACAGCAGCTGGATTTGTAGCATCTAGCCTCAAATAGGAGCATGAAACACAAGTTTGCTTGGAGGGGAGAAAAATCAATCAGAAGATTTCACATAGGATTGTGAGGCTATAGAAAGCTCCAAGACACCCTGGAACGCTGCACCATTTACCCTAATCTGAGGGTGAGTCAGCACTCAATTATGTTCAGGCAATTTTATATTCAGTTTTTAATGCGTTGGCGACAAAGCAATTTAGATAATATGGTCACATAGCAGAATCACCTTCTTTACAAATCCGAGTTGCATTAGCTACAATAAGAAGTATGTCACTCCGAGTGCTCATTTTCCAGCGTGTAAGATTATCATCATGTGGCATCAAGGAGAAATCTCTTCTTCCCATTGCCAAACTCGATGCAATTGTGCAACATGGCTGTTTCATCCCTTTTTCTGAAGTTCTTAGTTATGGCATCTCTTGAGACCAGACAGATCCACTGCTGTGTGCAGATACTGTCTGAAGCCTTTGCATTAATAATAGCGCATGAGATAATGGCTCCTACTGGGCTGTGTGTTCAAGAGAAAACATTCTGGTATAATGAAGTGGGTCATGTATTTGTAGGTAAGTGAGGGTTTCTCAGTTTGTCCATCACAGGGTAAGGAGCTGTGACCTGTGAAACAGAAGAATCTGTGTGAAACTGTGTTATTGGCAAGTCCCACGAGTACCGTCCTGGGGGGTTTCAAAGGTGTGGCTTCAGCTTCACCATTTTGCCATCAGTTCAGGAAAGATGTTATGCTAATCTGACCTTTTGCTTAATCTTTTAAGGCACTTATTATATTATTTTTGGCAATTATACCTTTAGGAATCAGAAGTTGGAGAGGAAATGAGTGATTTACTATTTAAACTGAATGATCTTTTCAATGCCGGTGACAGACCGAGTCTTCCATGAACTGCTCCTTACATGAACAGGATACATTGATTGTCTTAAAAACAGGATGCACAAACTGTGTAAAATCCACTTTGTATATCTTGGCAGTAAACACACAGCCTGAATCCTCATTCCCCTCCCTTATTCCTGTCTCCATGACTCGATGGACTTGAGTAAGGGCCAGATCTGGAGCACAGCAAGCTCGAAAAGAAATTTCCATTGGCTTTTTTTTCCCCCCATGGATAATACCCTTAAATATTCAGGGTCAAACTTTCAGCTGTCGTAAGCTGGCATCTTTCCACTCAACTAGTTCTTCATGTCTGCACAAGTGCAGAGTCACCAAGTTTCTCTTCATCTGCAAAGAAACACCCTTGGTTTTTTATTAACATGAATCACAGAATCATTAACAGAATGTAAAAGGGTTGGAAGGGACCTTAAAGGTCATCTAGTCCTACTGCCCCTGCATGGGCAGGGACACCTTCCACTAGACCAAGTTGCTCGAGGCCTTAATCAACCTGGCTTTGAACACTGCCAGGGTTGGGGCATCCAGAACCTCCCTGGGCAACCCATGCCAGTGTCTCAACACCCTCACTGTAAAGAATTTCTTCCTAATATCCACTCTAAATTTCCCCTCCTTCAATTTGTACTCACTACTCCTTGTCCTGCCACTACAGCTCCTGATGTAGAGTCCCCCTGCAACTTCCCTGTAGGCCCCCTTCAGATACTGGAAGGTTGAAGACAGTTTCCAGCCATCTTCTTCTCATGAGAAGGATTTTCAGACTGTACTTATGAAGACATTGACATTTGAACTCATTTTATTTTGAAGTCACCATCACTCACATTGTCACAGTGTGACAGCACAGCAGGTTAATTCAGTGTTTCTCAAATCAATGCTCTCAGACCAATATCAACACCTGGCTTTCCTAAAGGTGACATTCTGCATGTAATTACACTCTCCAAGTCCTGAGCAAGTACTGGGCTCGGCATAAAACACCAATTCTAATAGGAATAATATTACAGAAAGGCTTAAGAAACCTAATCAACAGCCACACGCTCCAGCAAAAACAGATTGTTTAATACCTGAAAGCTTAAAATATGGATGGCTTCTTACTGAGCTGCACTGCTCTTGGGTGCTTTAAATTCTTAGTTGAGAACCACGTGAGATCTTCTAGAGATATGAAAATTATATTTTATTCTGTGCTTTATTGCAAAAGTTGAGGCATGTTCCCTAGTTGATGATAATCAGAATGTCAAAAAATTAACAGAACTTCTGTGTTCATCAGGAAGTTTTGGTAAACAGTCACTCCTCCTCTGCTCCTTCTTTCAGGTAAACAGACTGAACGAAACTTTTCTTTATAATCAGTTTCCTCCCATTTATCTCTTTTTTTCACATTCAGTATCTCTCCTGAACAAGACTGAACAGTTTTCCTGGAATTCCCTCCTCAGGAAAAAAAAGATTTACTTCTCTTCCTGGAAAATGCTAAGTACACAAAATTCTTAAGTAAATTCTTCATGAGACTTTTTCAAGCTACCTCCACCTATTGGAAACTGAAAGGGCAAAAGATCAGCCCTTCATCTTCACTGTTTATTTTTGATCCCCATAAAAGTCCTTACAGTTTAAAAAGCACCTTTCTGTCTCTTTAAAACTGTTTATGAATCATTGTTTGGAATGGCCGTAGTAAAGCACTTGAAGCTGATTAACGCAGAAGTTACATGGCTATCAGCTAGGACAGTCCTCACCTCATAATTTTATCTATTAACAGATACTGCAGAACTAACTGACATTAAACTGGCAGAATCCCAGCGCAAAGGTGAACTCGAGGAAAAAATTATATTGGATTTTAATAAAACTTTCCTCAAAGGTCAACCTCTCTAAGGTATGAAATCAATCTTCCCTCCTCCTTCTTCAGCCCATTTATTCACAGCTATAGAAAATTCTGATACTCATAAAATGTTTCCCATTCCCTCCCCCTCTTATTACAATATCTATCTACCTGTGACCACTATTTTTCACAGCAATTTTAGATCCCTTCTTCCTCTTTTCACTCTTTTTACCTGGCCTTCTTGGAATCTGCACCCGCTTCTCAAAATGTCACTTATCAGGCTCCCTTTCAAGAACAGATCCTGCCTCATACCATCTTCAGTACAAAGTCCCCCCCCATTTTTACTTCATCCTTGACAGGGAAACTTTGGGAAGAGCAAAGATTTGGTGCAAAATCTTTATTCCTGTTTTTATTTTTCCTCCAGCTGCCTTCTGTGTCTTGCTCAGGACTCCAGCAACTTCTGCCAGGTAAGCTATAACATTAGTAGCATTCCACTTAAGAGAGAGTGATGTCCTTGTGAGCTCTAAGCTCCTTAGATCAGTCTAGGAGGATCAGTCCGTTTGAGTGATGTTGGCCCAGCAAAATAACATGAATATATTATATATATATATTTAGGGTTTGGGTTTTTTTTTTAGAAGACTCACTAATATCTATGAAAGTACCGTCTTAGGAGGGTTTCTTTCAGCTTCATAAAGCCATAGATACTCAGATCTGGAAACTGCTCTTCAATCCATGGCATACAAGCTCCAGCTCTTGATGGCCAAGTTTCTAAAATCTTGGCATCACTGGAGCCACTAACATCACACACTGTAACAGCAGAGCAATTTCTGTTGCTGGTGTTTGGATTTGCCTGGCCAGCTGATCTGTGGGGCAGGCCAGACCCAGAGCATCCCATGGGAATTGGTACCAGGGCTTTCAGGGCTCCCAAGGTCGGATGAACGATGCAGGGCTGTTCTCACGGTCCCAGCCCATCACTACTGTACCCTCTGTTCTCCCCCTTTTACTGCAATACTTCCCTCCCTGCACTTCAAGGGCTGTTGCTCCCTCTCTGTCAAGATTCACTGTCCCTCTATTCAGTCTGACAGACACTTACCCAACCGCCAGGTCCTCCTTCCTCCATCCCTTCCCTGCACATCTCCCCAGACACTAATCTCATTCCTCAGCCCCCTGAGCTACACAGGCACAAGCCTGGGCACAGAGTCTCTGACTATGGCTGTTTGCCCCGGGGGTAGGAATCTGCACACCCGGAGTTATCCCACACATCCTGCCTTGTGCGCTCACTTGGCAGCTCAAGCTGTGGCAGCAGCCCCTGTCCTTCAGCCACTCTCCCTCAGAGGGAACTATGTGCCCCTTCACAGCATCAGAAACGAGTTGGGGCTCTCCTAGAAGATGACCTGGCTGTTCTGGCTGAATTCTGTTCTTGGTTATTCTTTACTCCATCAAAACAATGTTACTTGCAAGGTAATTTCGTGGCTTCCCATCTCAAAAAACCTTTGTGGTCAGAGAGCTCCTGATGCTGGGCAACACCTGATAGGTCCAGACACCCTCTATAATCTGTATTTATGGAAAAACCACTGCTTAAGCTGCTAAAGGGAAATGTAAGAGAATCTACACTACATTTCAAACTCACTGCTAAGATATATGCTGGAGAGCAGCCAGGCCTGGTTGCTCACACTGATAGATGGTGGGGAAAAGGAACACGCGTTAAAATCAGCAAATGGATAAAACTGGGCTAAAGAGAGATGAATACAATGGGGAAAGCTTTCCATTTTTCAAAATCAAAGCTCAGGCTCCCACGCTAAAGGAAGAATTGTGTTCCCAAATAGGAAAATGTTAAAAGAGAGACTGTACTATTTTCAGGAATGTATGATACAAAGCTTCATGTCCACTGTCAGGATAAATCTTATCTATTCTGTACAGCAACATTCAGTTAGCAGAGAAGAGGATTCTATGAAAAGGACAAAGATGGGTGGTGGAAATTCTGAGCCTTTCTTCCTACTGCTCTTAAATTCTTGTCCTCGTTGACATAATTAGCAAAAATGTTCTGAGATATATTTAATTCCTTTTAACAACTTTTAAGATTAACAAACCGTATTTTGGTTTCAGATACTGTGTTGATCAATAAATGCTGCTGATTTAGATTTTTAAAGAGCACTAGCAATTATTTGAGGAACCAAATTTAGATTTCTTTAGTAGAAAAGAAGGTTCCTTTGTTGAGACTATGTAGTATCTGCAAGGTCTTGTGGTAAGTAGTTTTACAATACAGAGATTTTGGCTCTAGAGATTATTCTGCAGAGACTCAGACCATGGAAATTGTAGTTCAGTTGCTGTCTGCCGGCCAACATTGCAGGATCTGGCTATGAACAGGGCATGAGATCAAGCCCTTCTCATTTAATATAGATTAAGAAAGTCTTCTTACTTCTAATCTCACTCCTGCCTCCTGCCCTGCTCTGAAATACTCATGGTGATTTGCTCTGCTGGGGAAAAAACTTGTCAAGGTCTGTCAGGAAAGATGAGAATATATATTTTTTCTTTTCTTTTAAGATTAATCTTCCAGTTGAATAGAATTGGCAACTTGAGTAAAATTTTGCTACTGGAGTTATTTTGTATTGATTGCATTTTTAAAGATTTTTCTAGCAGGGAGAGGCAGACATTTTGTTATTGCTATGTATTAATCAAAAAGACTGAAAAATACTGCAGGCCCTACTCTGACCCTTGTGGATCAAAAAGGCAGCCGAGGTTTTAAGAATACAAATTATCCCGGATTAAACTCTGGGTTTAGGTGTTAATAATTTAACACTACTACAGTTTGGCCACCTACTTGTGATGTGCTATATGTGGATCGCTGCAGTTTAAAAGCAGGTTTTTTTCAGACAAACAAGGATAAATTGAAACTTCGAATGGGCCACTAGAAGCGGGCTTGACTCTTGCAGACCTGAAGAGGTTATTCTTAGGGTAATTACCTGTCTTTAACATTCAGAATTATAGAATGGTTTGGGGTGGAAGGGACCCTAAAGATGATCTAGTTCCATTTAATATCGGATTTCCTTGATAGCGTGGACTGCACGAGAAGCTGCCTTTCCTTAAGTCACAGAAAAGCCACAGTTTTTACAGCTTTAAAGGATCCCACGGCTGCCTTGATTACCAATGTCTTGGCTCTGTACATTTAATTCAGCTCCTAATGCTTCTCATGTAGTGCTAAAGCCATTTAAAAGAAAGTCTCTGCTTTTACAACCCCGCTTTTTTTAGCAGCTCAGCAGCAGTTACCGGGTTTGTAAAGCTCCTTACGGAATCTCACCTGAAAACACTGATCTGCGGCACTGTGCAGTTTTTCCCACTTCAAAGGGAAATCTGCTGCTGCCACCCCAGAACTGAGCACAGCGAGACACCGAACTGTCACTGGGGGCTGATGTCACCTCCCAAGGTGTGTTTGTTGTACCAGGGAGACTTCTGAGCGCTAATGTCAGAAAAAACAAAACAAAACAACCACCTCTATTTGTCTTTTCGCCTTCTCTGTTTAGGGAGTTGTTTCACGTTGTCTCTTTTTGTTCAAAACAAATACCCAGGGCTCTCACTCAGATTCCCAGTGATGCTACAGCAGTTCCCAGTAGTCTCCCAGTTGCTAATGCTTGTAATTTTATAATGTTCATACTTTATTTTCCATTCGGGGTGCACAGTGACGACAGGTGACTCAGTTTTCACCAAAGGCATGTGCAACCCCTTATGGTTAAAAATGGGTGAGAAATGGGGGGGGAGGGGGGAAATCGTAAATATTTTTAGTCTTAATCAAGATCTTCAAGCTGTTTGCAATACTGCAATCCCAGTAGCATCAACATTGATATGTCTGAATAAATCTATGTGTTTTACAATGAAGGCAGACTTCTAGTAGAAATTTTGAGCTGTGGAAAATCCTAAATATTATCCTTTTCTTTCCCTTGGTATTTCAGTTTTTGGGCTCCTGCCTCCCAGTCTCATCTATATTCTCAGCACCAAAGGGTTAAAAGTCCTGGCATTTCTTCCGAGTGGCATTTCCAAATCTCTCCCGGGGCCCATGCAGCGTTTATGCCAAAATGCTTTATTATTATACAAACAGAGCAAGAGGCGGAGAGAGAGGGGGAAAAAAAATCAACCAAAAAAAAACCCCTTCACAGTTTGTCCTCCAGAACTGGGTCCTGCTGGTGGCGTGAGGGAAATCGCCCCAGCCGCAACCCTGAACACCTCAGGGGGTGTTTAAAGAGAACCCCCGGGGATGTTTCAAGGAACACAGGGGTGGGTCGCACCCCAACTGCCCGTGGGGACCCCCGACCTCCCTCCCCGGGCTCTGAAAGGGGGCCGCGCCCCCCCAAACCCGACTCTGACTCCGCCCCCCCGACCGCGCTGGCCAATCAGCGGCGGCCCCTTGGGCAGGCAGCCAATCGGCGGGCGTTGCTACCTGTGGGGAGTATTTTTAGCCGCCGGGCGGGGGGGGATGTCTGTGAGAGGCCGCCCCGCGCCCCCTCCCGGGGGGGGGCCCGGGCGGGTCACCCCAGAGCGTGCGGGCGGCGTGCGCTGCCCCCGCCGTGCGGGCACAGTCAGCCATCGCCGCCGCCCAGGCCCCCGCGGGCCGCGGCGGTCATGGGAGATGTAGTTCAGCGCTCCCCCCTCCCTCCCCTTCCCATCCCATCGCTTCCCCGCGGGGCCGAGGGGCGCCAGGGCAGGGTTTGACGTGGGTGGTGACGCAACGGGGCTGCGAGGCGAGGAGCGCGCTGACGTCAGAGCGGCCCCGCGCGCGCCGCGCCGGAGGAAGGGGCGGCAGCGCAGGGCCCAGCGCGGCGGGCGGGGCTAGGGGCGGGGCGTGACGGTTGTGGGCGTGGCTGCAGCGGACGCGAGTCAGTGGAGGGTGGGGGCTTGTGGGCGTGGCCGAGCGGGGCGCGGCGGTGGGCGGGGCAAGGGAGGGTATAAGTAGGGGTGCGACGGGCGGCGGGGCAGAAGCAGAGGCAGCGCAGCTGCGACGGCCGAGCGCGCCCGTCGTGGGGGTGTGAGCAGCGCTGCCCTCCCCCCCTTCCCTCCCCCCCCTTTTTTTTTCCAACCCTTCCCCCTCCCTTCTCTCTTTTTTTTTTTTTTCTTTTTTTTTGGTTTTTTTTTTGGACATCTCTTTCCTCTCCCCTCCCATCCTCGCGCCGAGGGAGAGCCGGCGCTCGGAGATGGGGGTCGGGTGCTGAGCCGCACCTCCCCCACCCGCCGCCACACACACACACACGCCCTCACACCCCCGCCGGGACTGTTTGCACTACCGCCCGCACACCCCCGGGTGAGTACCGGCCGTGAGGCGCGGGGGGCGTGCGGGGAGCCTGGGGCGGCGGGGCTGGGGCAGCCCCGGCCGCTGAGGGGGGGGCGCCGGGGCGGTCACGACCCCTCCGTGACGGGGCGGCCGTGAGGGACCCGGCGGGTGTGGGGGCTCCTCATGGAAGGGGCTGGGGGTGAGGGCACGGCCGGGCTGCCAGGGGTCGCTCCCCTCTCGGGTTAAAAGGAAGGAGCGGTGCCGGCTGAGTAATCGCCGCTGGGCCGCTCCGGGAGCGCCGGCAGCGCCCTGCGGGACCTGCGCTGCCAGAGGGGCCCCGCAGCCCCCACCCCTCCGCCGGCATCCCCCCGGCCTCTTCTCCATCCTCTTTATTACGGGCTCAGAAAATGCTCCTCTTCCTCCTCCTCCTCCTCCTCCTCCCGCCGGAGCTCCGGGGTTGTGAGCAGAAATCTAATGAGACCCGACTGCCTGGTTATGTAACTCCCGCTGCTTAAGGCTCCTGCCAGGGCGCTGCTGCCGGGCCGCCGGTGGGGCTCGGACCCCCCCCCCCAGAAACGCCGTTCCTCTCCCCATAAATATATTAAAAAAAAACAAAACAACAACCGGTTAGAAATGATTAGGCTGATTTGTTTGATCAGCTGCTTTTTTTTTGCGCCCGCGGATCGGTTTTCGCTTAGAAAAAAAATTCACGGCGTCAGCCCCGGTGCGCCTTGAAAGGATCGTTTCTTTCTTAAAGGACGTGGGGGGAAGGGAAACAAAACAGATGGATTAATAAATCATTTTTAAATGCCCCGTTTAACCGCCCAATCAGCTTTTCTGTACTGATTGTGCCCCCTTTGTAAATATCTTCTGTTTGCCCTTGATCTTTTCCTTATCCCCACCCGGTGCTGATCCAGCAAACGTTTAAAGGTCGCCTTATCGTACAGGCTTTCAAACTATTCCCATACCATGTTGGGGAGAACACGAGTGGCTTGGAAATAGGGTTCCAGACTTTAAAAGGAGATTATTCGGAGCAGGAAATAAAAAAGCAGTGTAGCCTCATTGTTAAAGGATTTTGATATTGACTTTGATTTCTCTAATCTTTAATGACAGCTACGCTAAATTTTGTTCCTGGTGATGCACTGCAGAACAATCCACTGTTAATTGAAATTCTGTTTGGGGCTTTTAACTTCAGCAAAAAAAAAAAAACCAACATATTTTGTTTCATTGGAACTTTTTGACAAAGGTGTGTGCTTTACATGAGTACTTTTATACCAAGGTACTGCAAGATTTGTGTTAGCAGTACGTGTGTTAATACCTGATTCTTGTCCCTTCTCTAACTTTAGACAGCTAATTTCTCTTTTGTCCTCTGTGAAGGAGTGGCAACCATATCTTACATTAAATATAAAATGGAGTCATGGAGAAGGAGAAAGGCAATCGTGTTTGAGGCTGCCAAAAGCCCTGTTAGCTCTGCAACTTTTTGAAATCTGAACTATAAACAGCGCAATATAAAAACTGAGTATATATTGTACCTCACATCTTAAAATATAGAACAATTTTTATTGAAAAATTGCGAATAAATTTATCGTAATAATTCCGTGGTCATGGCCACCCTTATGACAGACCATACATGCATCTATTCTGTATGTGCTGACTGCATTTCAATTTGAGCAGTTGGAGGAAGAGCTGTTGGATGTGCACAGCGGACATTTTCTCCTCAGTTTGCATCATTTCACCCGTGCACAGTTTATGCGGAAGATTTGCCTGCACTTAAAATAAATGTTGCATAATTTTAGTTATTTGTGTGAAATCTTCTAAGGCGGTTGTTATCATTTTTATAATTCTGCAGCCTACAGAGCAGTCAATATGTTTGCAAACTTTAAATTGATAAATGACCCTTGGACTAAGACCTCTCAGGCTAAACTAATAGTCTGGTGCTAAATTTTGCAGCTGAGTACTATAAATCATCCAAATAAGGGTTGGTAATTGAACCCTTGACAGGCTTGGCAGTTCTGTGATGTCTTAAAAATTATCCTTGCTGCTTTGTGAATAACCAAACAACCAGCTCATGTGATTTGGAAGTGCCCCATGCTGTATATGTAAACACAAGCCCATCTTCTGCAGCGTTGTTTGTAAGTCGGGCTGAATGGAGCTGACATCCTCACCTTCCGCAGGCAGGAACTGAAATAGTTTGGTGCACATTTTTTGACTTGAAAAGTAACCTATTTTATGCAGAAAGCGAAGCTGAAAGAATAGGCCTCCCAGCTTTATCTTACTCTTTCCTTATTTGGATGTGTTTGCTTTTGTTTTTTCTTAAAGGAACAAGAGCACTCAAGGTGAAGGATAATAATCAACTCGAATCAGCACTTTGAATGAAACTTTGTTTCCCTGTGGCGTCTTGAACACTTTCTTCTTCGGGTTTTGAAACAGACTTATAACTCTGTGGCATAGCAGCTATGCAGCTTGAAATCCAAGTAGCACTCAATTTTATTATTTCCTATTTGTACAATAAGCTTCCCAGACGACGTGTCAACATCTTTGGTGAAGAGCTTGAAAGACTTCTTAAGAAGAAATATGAAGGGCACTGGTATCCAGAAAAGCCATACAAAGGATCAGGGTTTAGATGTATTCATATAGGGGAGAAAGTGGACCCAGTCATAGAACAAGCATCCAAAGAGAGTGGTTTGGACATTGATGATGTTCGTGGCAACTTGCCTCAGGATCTTAGTGTTTGGATTGACCCGTTTGAGGTTTCATACCAAATCGGTGAAAAGGGACCAGTGAAAGTGCTTTATGTGGATGATAATGAAAATGGATGTGAGTTGGATAAGGAAATCAAGAACAGCTTTAACCCAGAGGCCCAGGTGTTCATGCCAATTAGTGACCCAGCATCTTCAGTGTCTAGTTCTCCTTCTCCTCCCTTTGGTCACTCAGCTGCTGTGAGCCCAACTTTCATGCCCCGCTCCACTCAGCCTTTAACCTTCACCACTGCCACATTTGCTGCCACCAAGTTTGGCTCGACCAAAATGAAGAATAGCGGCCGTGGCAACAAGGTCGCCCGCACCTCTCCCACCAACCTTGGCTTGAATGTCAATGACCTGTTGAAGCAGAAAGCCCTCTCCTCCTCCATGCACTCTCTCTACGGGCTTGGCCTAGGCAGCCAGCAGCAGCAACAGCAACAGCAGAAGACTTCTGCCCTGTCTCCTAACGCAAAGGAGTTCATTTTCCCCAACATGCAGGGTCAAGGTAGTACCAGTAGCATCTTTCCTGGTGACAGCCCCCTTAACCTCAGTCCTCTCCAGTACAGTAATGCCTTTGATATGTTTGCAGCCTATGGAGGTCTAAATGAGAAGTCTTTTGTGGATGGCTTGAATTTTAGTTTAAACAACATGCAGTATTCTAACCAGCAATTCCAGCCAGTTATGGCTAACTAAAAATAAACCGAAAGTGAAATCCAAGTAAATACTATTGTACAAGTTAAAAATGCACGTACCCAAGGGTGTATCTTTTTTTCCACCTCTTGAGATTTTTTTTAAGGCTTGTAGTATGAATACATTCAGGCTTGGTTAGATAAATACAACATGCATCATTTTTTTCATTTGCCAACCAAGCA